ACTGCTACGCGTTTAGTTTTATTGCTTTTTCTTTTCTATTAATATACACTTTCTCATTAAGCATTGCTGGAAACAATTAAGCACATTGGCTATTTAATCATCTCATCACCAAATGTGCTGAGCAGTGTGTATCACTGCGGCTGACCGATGTGAAATCCATGAGAAGAAGGAAAAGAAGTCAACACAAAATCCACATTTTACGCTGAAATCTAACCCATAAGTTTGGGGTTCCGCTAACTATTGCTGTTTTGGAAGACTTAGCACTAGAAGCATGGATTGATGTGCACTAGAAGGTTTTGCATTAGAAGCATGGATTAATATGAACTGATGTGACTGCATCATTTCTTTACTTTAAAATGAATGTACACTAATGTGCACTACTGAATCCAGGTTTGTAGTAATGGTTTTCACAGTTACCAAGATATTGTATTCAAATATTATGCAAATATACAAAAACAGTCTATTTATTTATCTACTAGGAATATAAATCTAGGTTAAATAACGAGAAAACAAAACAAAAAAATCGTCTAAAATCGGAGATGTTTTTCTCCTTTTGTGCTGATACCAATTTTATACAAAAAAGTATATTCCCTACCATTTCCAAATTCAAATTACTTATGCACGTTGCCTAACGTATTTATCACTTTAAATTATAAAAGGGATTCGTAATTTTCGTAATTAACGAAATAGCTGCGAATAAACCCAAAATTTAATACTATTCGAAATCAAACGCAAAATGTAGTTTATGAGTCTTTTTGAAAGACACTTGGTCAGAAATAATCAATAGTTTAAACATATCTTGTTTAATTTACGTGACTGAATCTTACGTGTAAAAAATGAGGCATGTCATTACTCTCATGTACCGCGATAGCTGTCTCTCTCAATCAGTGCATTCGTGTCAAAAACTCTGGTAACGGCGCTCTTTTCTTTTGTTCCATTTTCTTAATACAAAGCAATAATAAATGCATAGTTTAAAAGGCTTAGATTTAAGTGACACGCATATCGTTACTGGTAAATATTGCCATGTTCTTTTAAACGCTTAGGAAAAGGATACTTTAGTAAAGCATATAATTCGTGCTAGTCAATAAAAAGAAGAAACATGTGGTTAACTGCAATTGATGATAGTTTTCAAGTGAAAATTAATGCCAAAATGAAAAATCATATTGACAGTACTTTGGAAATAGTTTAAAAGCCGCAAATATTCCCCTGCATAAAGTAGATCACGCAACTCTGCGCGATTATTTTAATATAATATGTGCCACTTTCAGATAATCTAACTTCTGAGATGCGTTATAGCGCATATTACGAATAAGCGAACAACTCAAAGATAACTACTGACTCAAAGATAAGTCAGTAGTTGCAGGGGCAGGTCAGGTCAGACTACAGTTGACACACAATGTAATGTTTAACCATAGGCAAATTCTAACCGAACTAGCTATTTAGACCCTCACAAAACGCAGGGATCCACACACAGTTTATCCTTGTAGAAATTATTTTGATAATATGTCATTTATGTAAAGTTGATCAATGCTGTGTAAAGTTACTCTGTTCAGCGATCCATTATGCAAAGTTTCTTCACATAAAGTTTTTTGTTAAAGCTAGGAAATTCTTGTTAGAACCAATAGCCTGTCAACTTTTCTTGTGAATGCATGAAATAACTGTTTATCTGGTTTAGATCATATATTTATTTTCTGTACTTGAGTGGTAGTTTATTATTGCGTTTTTTCTCAGTTGTTTTTGGTTTTTATTCCAGAGTTGATATATTCGTAGGTACTGGTTTCTGGGAGGTTTTCAAACATGTTTCCATGTTTATTGGCAACTTCAAGTTTTTTAGATGTTGTTAATTCTTCTATTTGCTTTCAAACATCACAGACACACTAAAAAAGTACGAAAAAGAATATTATCATATAAAAGCTCTACTGTTAGACTGCTGCGCAGTGTATATCTGCTTGTTTCAACTTCATGAAAAGAAAACAGAGGTAGAGGAGAGCGTTGGGTGCTTCCCCAGGTGTATTCTTCATCAAATTAGATCGAAGTTAGGCAGACTCGTACTGTCATCCATGGACTTGCCTAAGACCTTTAATAAAGACAGTCGCAGCCCTCTTCCTTTTGTCCCCAACGAAATTGTGGACCCGATCTAGATTACATTTAGATCAAATTCATAACAAAAACAATATTTTTCACAAACTATTGTGATAGCAAGTAGATCAATATGTATTCGTGTGGCCAGAATTCCGCTCTTTTAAAAGTAATATTTGATCTTATTGATTCATTAACTGAGGACTTTAAATTATTGGATTCCTATCCAGACAAATTGAATTTATATACCTCATTTAGAATCTGTATTTCTAAAATGTTCAATATTATGATACTCATTTAAAATGATTTTAAACGTACGTAAATGCCGATTAGGAAAACATAGAAGAATATTTCGATGCTGATTCGACTGAGCTGGGCTTTAAATGTTTGAGTGATGCTGATATCAATTCAAACATCACGTGAACAGAAGAGGAAGGGAGTGATATTAAAAATACAAGCAAAGAAGATAACAGACAACAACATTAGTGCCGAGTCAGAGTAATGGTTTTTATTGAAACTCTACTGAACTTCATTGAACAAACGGGATTCGAATATGATGATAAAATAACACTTCGAAAAATACGCAGTGAAATTCGATAATACTTAAAGGCTCTCAATAATAAAGTAAAATTAATGATTTTTTAAGAAATAAGCGCATACAATATGCATAAAAATTGATAGTTTGGATTATCCGTGTTTTCAATTATCCGTGACCTGCTTCCCTGGCATTAGTCTGGATAATCGAGAATACAAAGAAGAACTAAATCTGGTGAGAGAGAAAATGCCCTGAATCAAATTTATATACTGAAAACGACCTTGCGTAATGAAATCAAACGATTTAGTAAAGTGTTTTTGTCATGTTACCAATCTTAATAAGAAAGGTAGTGAAGCAATGAAATTAATGAATGAGTAACCAAGTATAGTATAAAAAGAAGCTGGGTCATTTTTATAAATCGCTTTAGAACTGCGAGTTATCTACTAATTAGACATATTCAGTGCTATAATCACGATTTCTTTTGAACGTAATTTCATAACTATTAACTGTCCTTTGATATGAATTGTACCAAATAAAAAAAACTTTAAGCTTTAGACTATGACGTTTTTATAAACTAGCCTGCAAAGCAAAACTGTAATTTTGAAGATATGCAGTCATAAAATTGAAGAACGGGTCTTGTAGTGATTACCGCAATTAACACCTGGCCTGGTGAAAAGATGATTTATATACAAGTAGTGGGGAAAAAACACCATAAGTCACGCGAGAGCATATAAAACACTCGCAATATGCGCCAGCAATGCATGACGATCTGTAAAGAGAGGATGGACGAATAATTAAAGAAATAAACTGCAAGTCTTACGTGAGTAGTACATATAACACCGTATAAAGGAAATCATCTGAAACATTTCATGCGCATTAAAATGAAACATAAGCTTGACAAGGAGCGCAGCGTCACGATTATAGCCTAAGACATTAGTTTCGATTGAGGTGTCGTTTATCGTACTTAAACAGCCATTTAATCTATTGTACGGCTTCAAGAAAGGTTGATAGTAATCGGAAAAGAAAAACAATGCAGACGGATGGCCAGTGCAGGCTAAAGGTAACCATTACCGGTCAGCGGGGCACTATTACTAATATCTGTTTACCGAAGAAGGGCAACAAGTGTCGCCATTTACAATGGTTAGACGCTTCATAAATGTGGCTTATTCACCTTAGCGTTGCATCCCGTTGGTAGATACACATCGGCGGCGAAGTTTAAATTGGTTAAAAAAATAAAGACTGGATTTCTCTTTAAAATTAAGTTAGGTTATTTGAATATGGTTAAGTCACGAGGGAAACCTGCCTATAAATTCTTTTTAAAAAGAGATTTGTTTGAGTAACATACACGAATCAGCGGATATAAAAAGAGTTGTAACACTGTTTCATTCTAGTAATATCAGGGCAAGAAGGCGTTACGATATTTCTGGAGAGCTTATGTTGGGAAGCATTACTCTCAATAATCGTATTGACCTCCGTATTTTTGATGGACGTAAAGCCGTATTTTTAATATTCCGTATTTTTGATGGGAATCATTATGGTCAAGAAGTGATTCTTCCCTATGGTTTCCTAAAACGTTGCGTTTAGTGTGAAAGAAGTATGACATTTCACTATGATGACATTCCTTATGCCAAGCATCTCATATATATGCGTAATCTACTAACTTCCTTAATGGATCTTGACTTCCCACTGAAGTCGACATGTCTAGATAGAAACTGCCCTGCCAATAGTGTGTGCACAACATGTAAGCGAAAAAAAGTTACTATAAAGCGTTTTCGTTTCTCTCCAAGTCTTCTCATATTGGAGCAGGTGACACAAGAATATTTGCAGATGTCATTGGGGAAATTGACGTGCTTTAAGGAGTTTGGGTGATGATTCTGGCCACTTAAAGCATTCTTGTACATGGAATTTGTTTTCTAAATTATTGGCGTCTGCATTCAGAGAATTTCTGACCTGTAATACTGGGCACTATCTGGAGATACATTAAATGGCCACTTTGAGCCCAACTGCATTCAATATCGGTTAGCTTCATTCATCTTTCTCACATGCTTTAAATCCTTTTTCTCTCTGAATTTTGGTAAAGCCTGCTTTTTCGTGTTGTTTCTTAGAAACATTTTCTTGAATGAACGTTTATTGGGCACTTGAATGCACTTTGATGGGTCCCTTTTTGCGATTTATAATGTTTGAGCATTTTACGTATTCAATCTAGAATACTTACATGCGAACTTTTAATTGGAAATGATGGATGTTCCAGAAGAATATTAAATTTTAATCAAGTGGGCCACTAAAAGTTTCTATGTTTTTTAGTTTTGCTTTTGACAATGAATTTTTATAGTGAGATATTTCATAAATAAGATTACCTAAATATTATTTATGTTTCCTCTAGTGTTCTTCCAGTTACTTCGTGGGATGATTAAATACCATCAAATGTTGAACATTGGAGCTTTCTACATATGGACCGGTTTCCGACCCGTAGTATTTGCATTTTCACCAGAATTTTTTGAGGTGAGATTATTTTTCTCAAAATAATTTGATACGATATAAAATTTTCTAGGTTAACTTTCTTTATAATCGATTATATTTGGTTTTAAGCCTTTTAAGGCATATTTAGTATGAATTTATAAGGCAAAGTAATATGATATCGAGTAATAATAACTGTTAACTTCCTTGCACTATATTTGTTGATATTACTCGTGTTGAGGCAAAATCAAGTTAACTTATAAGATAAGCAATGATTTTTGGTTTCCATTGATTCCATTCAAATGAGTAATTTATTGAAAAAGATGAATTTTCAGTTAGAAATTTACATACGAAGTAAGAATTCAGAAATGTATATAGCAATATATACTTTATCCTGGTATACTGGTTTCATGAAGACCATCACTTCCTTTAAAAAAATTAAAAGAAATTTTAAAAAAAAAAAAACAAATTTCTCATTTCTTGTAAAATAAATAAGATAATAGTAAATATATTTCAAATATTTCTCATTTAGTTAAAGTAAATTTTCATTTTCGGACTGCGTTTTATGCCGAAAGGACCCATCATTTGTGTTTTTTTTTTCTTTCTTTTTGAAAAAATGATCTTGAGTTTAAAAAAAGAACGAAAAGGGTATAATATTTGTCTTTCAAATCAGATGATGGTGGTTCAGTGAGTTTCACTAATTTTAACACTTTTACGTTTTTAACAATATTTTAATTACTATATACAGAGCGTATTCTTAGGCCGCCGCCTTCAACATGAACAAACTTTATTCTCTTACAACTAAGCGAGCAACAGCGCCCTCTAGCCTTTTTCTTCAAATTACACAACACTCCCCACCTGAACTCGGTGGAGAGTTCATCTTTCAATAATATATTCTAGAATATTCAATTAATATTTCGACAATAAATCCTGGAGAAATGGTTAAATATAACAAACATGCATACATAATTATAAGCACATAAAATTTTACAAAACATTAAATGATACCTATCAGCAAGGTCAGGAGAATCAAACCTAAAAATACAAAATACAAACATTAGTTAAGTTCCATATTATATAACAATTGTATAGGCCTTTTTAAGGTACCAGTAGGTGTTTTAATTATGCAAGATCTTATTTTACCATCTCTGCCTGGCATTAATTCCAAAATTTTACCTATTGTCCAGAGATTTCTGGGATGTTTGTCGTCATGAATCAAGACAATATCGTTGATTTTAAACTGAGATGCGTTAGAGTGTGGAGGACAAATATTGGCAGATCTCAGATTAAAAAGATACTCTGATCTCCAACGCTTCCAAAAATGATTTAAAATATCTTGATGGTATTTATATCGTTTAATAATTGAATTTCTTGATCCAATCAAATTATTTGATGTTATTTTATTAGCAGGCAGAGATAGCAATCGTCTACCAACCAGAAAATGAGAGGGTGTTAGTGGAGAAGGTTCATTGGGATCGGTAAACACGTAGGTAATTGGTCTACAATTAATCATTGCCTCGATTTCAATGAGCACTGTTTCAAGCTCTTTCACAGTAAGGGATGATCGACCAATAATTTTTCGCAAGCTGGATTTTATGGTTCGTACCATACGCTCCCAAAACCCTCCCCACCATGGACCCCTCTCAATAATAAATTTCCAATTTATGCCTCTAGCAGAAAATAATTCTTTCACAGATGAGTCACTCAAAGTTTTAAAAATATGTTTTAGTTCTTTATCAGCTCTTTTAAAAGTCTTGGCATTATCGGAGTACACGGTGGTACACAGTCCTCGGCGAGCTAAAAATCTTCGGAAAGCTAGCAAAAAACTTTCAGTGCTGAGATCAGTTACTATCTCTATATGTAAGGCACGAGTGACCGCACACGTTAACAACAGCATGTAAACTTTACCTTGCCTGTCTTTCGTAAAAAAATGGACCGGCGAAGTCCAACCCGGTCACAGCAAATGGAGGCGACTCTTGGATTCTGTCTGGAGGAAGTGGAGCGATATCCTGTACCCCAGGACGAGCACTATATCGTTTGCATATCACACATTTGCTGATGATAGTCTTAACACGCTGTCTTCCCTTAATGATCCAATATTTGTCTCTGATCTGAGTTAGTGTCGAATTAACTCCAGCATGGAATACCCTTTCATGCGAGTCCATGATGATCAACTCGGTAAACTTGCATTTTGAGGGTAATAGAATAGGATGTTTTAAATTCTCGTGACAGTCTGCAAATTGAATGCGACCTTTCAACCGAAGAATTCCCTCCTCATCAAGCCTTGGATTAAGGGAGTAGATGGAAGAATCGAGAATTGATTTTTTATTTGATAACTTAATTATTTCCGCTTGATACGATTCTCGTTGCGTAATTTTTACCCAATAATGTTCAGCTGCTTTAATCTCAAAAGCACTTAAAGGTCCATTCTCTGTAGACCTTTTCCGAAGCCTCCCAATAAATCTAAATACATAGGCAGTAATTCGAAGTAATTTTCCTAAAGAACTGAATTTTTCTATATGCAAAATTGGGGATTCATTGTTAATTACAGGTGCAGTCAAAATAATACTTTTCCTTAACTCTAACGATTCTGAATTTGGTTTGTAATTTCTTTTGTTTTGGAAAGTTTTCAGTAGGAAAACGTAACCAGTGTGGCCCATGCCACCACAGATCATTCTTAATTAGTGACTGAGCACTAATTCCTCGAGTTAGTAAATCGGAAGGATTTTGTTTTCCTTCGCAGTGGTTCCACAATTTTTTGTTGCATATACTCTGTATTTCTGTAACACGATTGGCGATAAATGGTTTCCAATTATTTGGCGAACCTTTAATCCAAGTAATGGCGATTTCGGAATCACTCCAAAAATAAACATCCTCAATTAAATCACCAAACAATTTTTTCAAATATTTATACATTCGAGCAGCCACGAGTGCTCCCATTAACTCTAAACGAGGAAGCGTGATTGCTCTTAAAGGTGCAACTCTGCATTTCGACATGATAAAGGAAGTTTTAATTTTAGAATCACTCGTACAATATCTGAAATATGCGATGGCCCCATATGCTTTAGGACTAGCGTCCGAAAATAGGTGAAGGCTTATATTCATTGGATCGTCATCAAAGAAATTTCGCTGAATCGATATTTCAGTTAAATCATTAAGTTCCTCCCGCCAAATGTTGAATTTGTCCTTAATCTCTGCAGGAAGGACCTCATCCCAGTCAGAACCGGAACACCAGATTTCTTGCATAATAATTTTCGCCCGAATAACAAAGGGTGCAATAAATCCAAATGGATCGTATATTTGGGCGATGCTTTGCAAAAGTTTCCTTTTTGTAGCAAAATCGTTTCCAGTAGAAAAGTCAATTAAATTTTTTAAATTTAACTTTATATCGTCTTCAATGGAATTCCAAATCATGCCTAAGAAATTCGATTCACTAGTTAATTTGTTATCTGATTCCTTAATCCCATTTAAGGCCCATAAATCCTTTAATGCTTTAGAATTAGTTCTTAATTTTCTGAAATTCATCCCAGCATCCTTAAATATGTTAACCGCATCTACAGATAACCGATATGCATCTTCAACCGTTCCTGCTCCAAAATATAGGTCGTCGACATAGACAGAAGAATTTAACATTTGGAAACTGTCCTGCATTTTATCTTTATATTTTCGAATGTGATATTTTATAGTGGCGGCCAAAATGAAAGGAGATATAGTCAAACCGAAAGCTACGCGACACATTTGCATAATCTTAAAGGAGTCATTATTTTCATTAAACCAAAGAAATTTTAGAAATTTTCTATCACCTTCAGCAATTCCTATCATCAAAAAGGCTTTTTCAACGTCTCCACAAAACGCTATCTTAAACTTACGAAAATTTAACATAATGTCTAGTATATTTGGATTTAGATTAGGTCCCGATTCAAGGCAGTCATTTAACGAATTCGTGTCCTCTGTCCTTGAGCTAGCATCGTACACAATTCTTACCTTAGTAGTTTCACTAGGTCGTATCTGACTTGGAGATGCACAAAATATTATTATATGGTGCATCGGCGTAAGGAATTAAGGCTTTGTGAAGATTTTAGGTGTTCGATCCAAGTGTTTCGATTTCAATGGATATTTCATACTCGAGGGACAATGGAATTCCAAATAAAGGTAGGGAAATCTTAAATTAATTATTTAGTGATTATTTGTAGTACATTAGCAAGTATTTATTATTGCTGTCGTGAGTGTATTTAAATTAAATAAAATGGAAGATAAGTTAGATAGGTTGAAACGTAAACGTTCCACATTGAGATCGTCTGTTACTAGGTTAATTAAAGTGATTGAAGACAAATTAAAAATTGAAGGGGAGGAAAATTCGATTAAAGAATTACGGGAATTGTTTCAATTATTAACCGAAAAGAAAAATAATTTGAGAGCGCTTGATGATGAAATACAAGAGTTAATTGATGTTAACTTAATTGAAGAAGATCATAGTATAAGCGAAGAATACAATGACAAATGTATAATTGCTTGTAGTCAAATTAAGCAGTTTCTAGGTGCGGTTACCGCAGTACCGCCAGCGAGGAATCCCCAAAGTTCTGATTTAAACCAGTCTAGTGGTAATGGAATTTTGCATGTAAGTTCCAGTTCTAGTGGGAAGTAGTACGCTGAAATTACCAAAATTAATGATTGATAAATTTTGGGGAGACCCCAAACAATGGAATGAATTTTGGAGTAGTTTCGAAAATTCGATACATAAAAACGAAACGCTTTCAAAAATACAAAAATTTGTATACTTGAAAACATTCTTAACGGGACAAGCTTCGAATGTTGTGTCAGGCTTTGAGTTAACAGAAAGTAATTATGATAGTTGTGTAGCATTACTAAAGGACAGATATGGTCGAAAAGACCTGATCATTAATTCATTCATGAATAAAATTCTCAATTTAGAAGCTATTAAAAATTCTGCTAACGTAAAGGCTTTACGTAAATTGTATGACAAATTAGAAGTTTCGATTCGTAATTTGGAAACTTTAGAAGTAACTTCTGGCTCATATGGACAT